CTACCCTTGTGACGTGGCTGCAAAGTGCAGTTGAAGGTAATGGTCGGGAGAGAGGTGGGCCCTTCAAAAGGCAGAGTTGTAGCAAAGGAATATCCAGGTGCTCGGAGACGGCGGCGGCGGGGTTGGAGTATGCCTCTTAGGAAAGCTGCTATTTCACACGGGCTCCTGTAGCATCAGTAAGAGTTTGCAGAATTTGGGGAACCCCAGAGTTTTGGGGTAGAAGTGACAAGAGTGGCAAAGGGAAGAACATGGGAAAGGGGTGTGAGGGCACAGCTCACGTCTCTGTGCGCCTGAGCACGAGGACAGTGGGGGTGACCCGTCTCAGTGGAGGCCGTGATCGGCTTGCGAAGGGCCTTAGTGACACGCCCAGAACCTGGGCTTCACCTTGTGCCCGGCTTTTGTGAAGGAGGCATATTACCACAGGCAGGGCGGCAGTGTGCAGGCCGGGAAGGAAGGGGGGAGATACAGGGAAGAGAGTTTTCCTTTTGTATTTAAAGGATGTTAGGGAAGAATCAGAAGATCATAGTCAACTGAGAGGAGGTCTGGATGAAACCATAGAAAGACATTAGGAATAAAAATTAAATCACAGAATCAAGTCAGCAAACCTTCAGAAGGAATCTGACTATGAAACACGTTGACGTGTCAGGAATACCATCATTGGAATTCTTCAAATAAAGTTTAGAACAAGCATTCAAGAGATAGGGTTCCCAGGTAAAAGATAGGCTGCCCAGTTAAATTTGAATTTTAGATAAATAATGAATAGTTTTTAGGATAATTTGAGACATATTATTTATGCTAAAAATTGCTTTTAGTTTATCTGAAGTTGAGATTTAGCTGAGTGTCCTGTTAATTTTTTTGGAAAACGCGGTAATCCTAGTATGGTAAAAAGGTTTTGGAGAGGCTTGGTGACCAGACATGGCGATCTGGTCCTTCCTGTGACAGTGCTGGTGGAAGTGTTTCAATGCGAGTTGGCGCATTTGTTTGGAGGTGTGAGGTAGAGGCCCCGAGAAGCATTTCTGTGTTTCACAGGGAGAACCTTTTGGGAAGTCTTTTCTATATTTAAGGGACTGGTAAGGATTTCACTTTATGAGATTTAAAATTACTTGAGCAAGAAGGGAACTAGAGAAAGGGAAAACTCAAACTACTGGAAGCCTCTAATAGTCAACAGACTGGATGGACAATGTCTTGTGTGTTCTGGAAACAAAGCGGGTTCCCTCCGCTGAGCCAGTTTGCATTGTCAAGTGTGAGCAAGGCTGGGCTGGGCTGCCAGTGTCATTTCTGCTCTTGGTACATAGCCTGCCCTGTGTTCTGGCTCCTGTAAGAACCCCAGCAATGAACACTGCCAAGAGTGTGAGGTCATAATACCATGACCTCACAGGGAGCCGGATTCTTGGAGGCCCTACTGGACCAGAGCTGGAGCCTTCAGGGAAGGGGCTTCTGCGGGGGGCATGGCCCAGGCCCCGGGATGAGCTCGTGGTGTGCGGCTTTCTGCTGGTGAGTTGCGCTGCCTTTGGGCTGCCAGCGCTTCAGAGGAGCGATCTCTGTCCGTGTTCACGTGCTCCCATAAATCGTGAAACGGGGCAGAAGGTGAAGCCATCTGGGAATGGAAGTGTTTATCCCTCATTTTATTCCTTATTTTCTTTTTTACTGAAGGTGTTTTCAAGAAGATCCTAGTCTTGATCTGTAGAGATTTAAAAATTACCTCCTTCTGGTGAATGTGAGGAGAATGAGGTGAAATAGACTGGGCAGGATGGGGAGAGAGGCAGTGAACGTGAGGCACGAGAAACATAAGGGATTGCAATCAGTTCTGCTTTTGACAAAATACGTGCTCCTGAGGCCAAGTCCCTCGTATGGGAACAGCATCTCTGCGGTGCTGCCGTGTGTGTGGCAGTCAGGTTGTCCCCATGGAGTGATCAAGTCCACGCCATGGATTTGCCCTGAGAGGGGAGCAGCAAGCAGCCGTTTAAATGAGAAGAAAATCCTTTCTCTGACATCTGTTTTTTCCTACCCAGTGGCTAATATTTAGAGTAAGAAAGTGATGGGAGCACAACTCCAGGGTTTTTCATGATTATTAAAGATTATTTCTTAGTTACATACAATTACTTGATTGTAACTAGAATAGTTCTTAGAGCAAACATTTTACATTTTTACCACTTATTTGGGAAAACACAAAGTATGAGCTGACCTGTAAAAGAAATATTTTCTCTGAGTTTACTTACAGATTGGCTTTATATAATAGTTAAATATTCAGTTTTCTGATGGGATAAATTTCACAAAACTGGCTGGTAATGTGAACTTCATAAAGGAAACTTTAGGGCGAAAAAATATTGAAATGTATTTCCATGAAGATTTTGTCATAATGAAACCATTTATTTTACTTGGTAGGTGTGTCTGTTGGAAGATTGTTTGAGGTGGCGAATTGGGCACAAGGGTCACCAAACATCCTGCTTTCCTGGCTCGGTCCCAGTTGATGCCTGTTGTCTTGGCATTGACTGCGGTTTAGCATTTGACTTTGACTTTAAAAAACTGAAGTATTATCATTAACAGTTGCAGTAAAGTAAGTCAGCATGGGTCTGTAAATCTCCATTTTGTACTTGCAGCTTCTCCAGTATCATCTGGAATGTGTGAGTTGAGCAGAAATTTTACACTGTTGAGTCTACCAGGCAACGTGGGATAACCTCTCTCTCTGTTCCCTCCCCCCGTAGCTCCTTTCAAGACAGCTTGTGGAGGAGCACTTGCTGGTCAGGGAGCTTGGAGAGGGGTGGCCAGGGATGGTGAACTCCGGGGAGTCTGGGTGGCCCCGGGGTGCCCTGGGGTGCACCTCTGGTTGTGCAGGAGCCCAGCTGCGCTGAGTGGGCGTGAAGCTGCCAGGCTACCACCCAGTGGATGGATCAGTGGGAAATGGGAAGTTGTAAGTTAGGTCGAATAAGTGACAAAGCAGAGGTTGAGCCGTTCTGCTTAAAAATGTATTCACTTTGCTATGATAAGTTTGCGACCAATTTTTTTTTCTCAAATTGGTAATGCTTTTTTTTTAACCCTGTAACAATTATAATTACATATTTAGTGTAATGATTTTATCATCCCGGTTTCCTTTTCGGAGTGTCCTGGTTTAGATGATAAATGATTCTCTACTCAGACTTCGGGCCCAGTAAATTGCCGTGGGGTAGTCCGGGGCACGCAGACTGGGGGATGGGCCCCTCCAGCCTAGCCTGGCGTGGCTTTTACATTTTTGAAGGTTGTGGAGAAAACAGCAAAAACAGAGAAATGTGTGACAGGGACCTTATGTGGCCTGCAAGTCCGGGACATTTCCTCCCTGGTTCATTGCAGAAAAATTGTGTGTCTGGTTTAGTCTCTAGTAAGCGTGTTGGTAGACCGCTTAAGCATGGGAGTTATCATGAACACAGCTTTGTTTTGATAGAAATTCAAGTGCAGGTGTGGAAGTCGCGGCATTCTCCTTGGTTTTGGTGTTGCAGATGCATGCTGCAGCACCGCCCTGGAACAGAGGTTCCCAGGGTGTGGCTGTGGGGCTTTCTGCGACCCTTCCGTGGGTGTGCGAGGCCAGGATTGTTTTTATCTTGTTGTGCAGCGTCATCTTCCTTTTTCACAGCATCGACACTTGCGCCGGTGGTACAGCGGCACTGGTGGGGGCCTCAGTGCAGATCAGGGCAGGGCACCAAACCGCTCTAATTGTTGTATTCTTCAGTGCCACGCACTCAAAATAGAGGCCAGTGTCACCTAAAGATATCCTTGATAAAGCAATACAAATTAATTACTTTTCAACCCGTGGGTACCTGCCTTTTCAATTTCGCATGTGATGAACTGGATAGTATGCACGAAGCATTTCTGCATGTGGTGGTTCTCTCTAGGAAATGCACTCAACGTAATTTGAGTTGTGAGCTATAAACTGGTCTCTTCTTTTGATGGAAATGCCATTTTTCCTTCAAAGTCTGACTGATAAACTGTGGGTTTGGGCAGACATTTTCTTGAAAATTAATAGAGTGAACCTATTGCTTTAAGGAAACCAACTGTCGATTTTTGTTGCCAGTGGTAAAATTTGAGCTCTTGGTCAAAATTAGAATTTTGGAAAACTTGTTTCTGCCACTGAAAGTTTGACAGCTTCCCAAGACCTGAAGACTTTTCTGAAGATGTTAGTGGTGACATTGATGAATGTGATTTTTTAAATAATGAAGTGTGTCAACAAATATTTTGCAAATGACCAATGCATGGTGCAGAATGGTAAAAGATCCACTCAAAGTGGGAGACATTTTTTAATGTAAGAGTACAAGAAATTCATCAATACATGTCTCAATTATATTGCAGCTAACCTTTAAAAAACTATCACTTGTTTAATTTTGACGTCATGTCTAAAAAGAATATCCACAATTGCGGATGTTAAAATGCTCCATATTTTTCTAAGTATCTCTGTGAGGCCGGACTTTCCTAATATTTTCAACCAAAATGATACATTGTTACCGACTGAATGTAGAAGTGGCTAGGAGAATCCGGCTGTCTTCTAGTAAGCCAACCATTAAAGAAATTTGTAACAGATATAAATTACTATTGCTTGTTTCACTAAATTTTACCTTACTGTTTAAGAAGATAGTTATTTTTAATGAAAATGTATTATTTATATTTATGAAATAGATGTATTTTTAAATGAATTAAAATTTCAATTTTCTGTTTTCAATTACTCATACAGTGAGTATCAATATATATAACCCACATAAACAAAGGTCTCTGGGGTCTTCCATACTTTTAAGAATATAAAGGTCCTGGGATTGAAAGATTTAAGAACTGCTCATGGAGGGTTTCAGCAATCACTTCTGTAGTATGTTGAAAATAGAGTAACTGAAAATATTTTTATAAATAATTAAGCAGGAGGTGTTCTTATTTAAAATAGTTTTTTTCATTTGTTAGTTCTGTACTATGATAATTTCATCAGCTATTTTTCTTTTTGCCACTCTAGAAAAACCTTCTGTATTCTTTGTTTCCTGTATTAATTCTCACAGCCATGCTGGGGTGAAAACAGCCCTGCTAGATGCTCGATCTGAAATGGGGAGCACTGACATTCTGGAGAAGGAGACCTCGGGGAGCCTCAGCAACGGGACCAGCGGCAACGTAGACGCAGCCAGAAGGCTGGCCAGACGCCTTTATCAGCTGGACAGATTCAAAAGATCAGATGTGGCAAAGCACCTAGGCAAGAAGTACGTTCTGTCCCGGGGCGGTGTCTGAGCGGGTCCCTGAGAGGGTGTGTGTGTCGATGGCTCCGATTTTAGTAACCAAGTCTGTTCTGCTCTCTTATAGCAATGAATTTAGCAAACTAGTTGCGGAAGAATATTTGAAGTTTTTTGATTTTACAGGAATGACACTGGATCAGTCTCTCAGGTATGATTAAATATCACTTCTACTCTTGGCCTCTAAATAACTCATTCTGAAAAGAGAAAAAGCAATGTGCTGATGTAAAATCTGATTTTGATTTTTTTAAACCCACAGTTACTTTGTGATCTTAGCTCTGATTGTATTATAAATAATAAACAGTAGAAAGTGGGAGCACTGTATTGTTTTTATGAAATCACACATGAACTCATATTCAGTACCTAGGAGATGACGTAGTAAAGAATGGTGGCAAAGTAAGTCTGGGAGAAATGGAATCATTTGGTTTTTGAATGCTCAATTTTTTAAGAAGACACAGTTTACAGACTGTAGAATTATAGACTTTTTCCTCCTAAGCACTTATTTACAATATCCAAATGCCCTCTTAAGATAATACTTTGAAATTAACTAATGAATGGAATAAAAATGAATATCAACACAATTATCAGCAGAAAGCATGTGTAAAACCATTTCAGGCAGTAGCCCTTATTGCTTATCTGTTCAGATGAAGGTGTCAGAGATACACTGACCCTCACGGTTCACACCAGATTGTAATATAAATTTCTAAGCAGGGCTAAAAGTGAAACCTGGTCAGCATTTAAGCTTATAAACTTTATAATGTGTCAGAGCCTGGAGGAATTCTGAGGTTGTCTTGTGTAACCCTTTAGTCTTACAATATTGAGGCCTGGGAGGTGAAGTGAGGATGTTTGGGTTAGAATGCACAACAGTGGCTTATTCTGTGGCTCTCTGCATGAATCAAGGGTACTCATAAATTTTCCAGTGAAAACCAGTAAGGGTCAGGGATGGATCTGTATTTTTGCTTTGCTTTCTCATATGCCTTATTTTAAAAAGTTATAAAAAAATTGAAGTTTTATCAGTATAATTTAGATTAAAATGCAAATAAGGAAGACAGCAACATTTTCATCATTGAAATATGGTTCATTATATGTTTCTTTCAATAGTAAGATTTCTTAGGACCTTTTAAATGATTTTTTCCTTCCCATCTCATGTTTAGGCAAATGTATCAATTTTCTTAAGTGAGGGTCCTGGATATAGCTTTAATAGACATTACTCTCTGATTTAGATTGCTGTGTGGTTCTAGGCATACTTTCTGTTGTTCGAAGAAGTTTTATACATAAATTAATTTATTCCTAATTTAAGAAATAAATTAGGGTTTATTTTCCAATTTCTTCCTCATATAACAAGTTAATTATATAAGGTGGTGATATAAGCAAAATAAAATGAACAGAAATCTACTGAGTACAGGACAGTGTAACTGTAATTTTAATAGTGAGTCATTGGCGATTACACTCAAGCAACAAAACGACAAAGAAAAACCCCTATGATCTTTCTCAAATTTTAAAACATAACCTACATGGTTATGCATCCAGTCTTCTGTGTTCTTTGGCTTTTATCTGACTGAGCTTTTAAAATGGCTACTTGACACCAAGTCACGGGGAAGTCACCTATCTTCCCAAGGCTTTTCTTGATGTACTGACCACTGTGTTACTATGCTGTCATTTTTTATATTATGTTTTATGTAATTTGAATGTCAATATGAATTGATGTTGAATGGCCATGTGGTAAGTTATATTTTTTAAGTGTAGAATTTCTTACTTTGTATTATTAATTTCTTATGTTTATATGAATTAACTTTAGCAGTCAAACGGAGTATGGTAATATTTTCTAAAAATTCACTTTTTCCCCCATAATTCTTTTTTAGGTATTTCTTTAAAGCATTTTCTCTTGTGGGAGAAACCCAAGAACGAGAGAGAGTTTTAATACACTTCTCCAATAGATATTTTTATTGTAACCCAGATACCATTGCTTCACAAGGTAATCTGATGGAAATGCTTGAATTTCTTTTTTATAACAAGAGATTTTTCCTCATTATGAAGTTACGTTTTATTGTGGAAAATATGGAACATTATACAGAAGAAAACAAAAGTCATCTACTTATCTCTAGATAACTATTAAGAATTTGATTCCTTCCAATCTGTTTATACAGTATTTTGTATTAGATTGGATCATTATATTGCTTTGTTTCCTACTGTCATTCTTTTTCATTGTGAATATTTTCCCATGTCATCAAATATTCTTTAAAAAGCATGATATTTAGTGACTACGTGATACTCTTTGCTCTTGTTTTAGTTATTTTTACTCTATTTTCTAGTTCCATAATATGACAATATACTTTCTTAAAATTGCTCACGGTTTGCCATTGAGCTTTTACATCCATGCACATTGTAGTAAATGAAATGCTAGTTTTCTTCTTTCTTCTCCTTGTGCACTTGATCTCTCAGCTTCTTGACGAAGTGCATGTGTGCTCAGTGCATGTATGGTTAGTTTTGGAAATGTTCACAAATCTCACTGGAGTTTGCGGTATGTCTGGTGCTTTTGTTTGACTTTCATTGTTATAACACTGGCCTCTGACTCTGGTTTATGACTTTGATGACGTATGTTTGTGTACTGTAATATTTTAAAAAAGCAACTTTTAACTGTTTAATTGTTGATGTACCCTATGAAGAGAGGTCATGTCTCCATGTCAGTCCTTAAAATCAAGCAGAATTTTCAGGGTTTGAAGTCAAGCACATTCACTTAGAATTGGAGTATCTTTCATAAACTTACAAATTCGGCATAAATCCCTGAGACCAGGCGCACCAGAAATTGTGATCGTCTCTTATTGTCAGTCTTGTTGATTAACGCTGTGCCTGTGCTTTACATCGACTAAAGTGATTGCTCCCGCTGCCTCTGCCCTGCGGACTGTAGCTAGGTTAACTGTCTGGTTGTTGAAGTCCCATTCCCATCTGTAAAATGGGAACTGTCTTTATTCCCTTGATTACACTTAGACCGTCTATTCACTGTCTTTATCACTGCCAGCATTGACTAGAGAGTGAAAGGGATAGCAGAGGGTTGTTTTTATTGCAGACTTCTTCAAATCTGAGAAGATGTTGACATTCCTAAGTGAAACAAGACTGTGGGTTTGTGTACTCAATTGGCTGTTCATAAAGATATTTGAGACTTGGCTGCTGAGCTTTGTACATATTTTAAAGAATTTGTTTCATGTGTATTTAGAATACTGGAATAAATACACTTTTAGGCATTTAGTAACATCTACCTAGAGATATTAATAACAGAAATCACCTACTATGCTCAAAGGCATATTTTTGGAAAATAAACTGTCTTTAATTCAGGAATTCAGGAATTTGAAAGGCTTTTCTGTACATTTAACATAAATTAATAAGACTTTTCTGTACCTTGTCTACTATATTTGGATTGAGAATTACAGGCAAGAATAAGGAGAACTAATTCTCAGATTTGGGAATGAGAGGCTTAACTCTTAGTGGTTTTCTTTATGAAGTAAGAAGAGAGAGTGATGCTTTCATATAAGTGTGAAGTGACCTTGCTGGTTTGGGCAACTTTTTATCCCTGAGTATTTAATTTTTTGATCTTCAGTGGTTATTTCAATATTTCACTTTTGTGTGATCCTGGTACCTGGGACTAGTCAACCTAGATGTTTCCTTTAAAGAATTATAAGAAAAAGTATAACTATTCCTGCCTATGTATTTTTTGCCAGAGAACTAATACCCAAAGAGGAAATAGTGGAAGATGCAAATCTTGGTTTTCTTTAACTTTTGCTTCTGTCCTAATTCACTTTCTTCCCAGAAAGTAAACAGTAACATATTAAATTATTTTCATTTCCATATCTTGTATTATAGAAAGTTGAGGAAATATACATAAAAAGATAAAAACTATAATTTTACTATCTAGAGATTAACCTCTTTTAATGTTTTGTTATATATTCTTCTAGATATATTATATTTAAATAGAATCATTCTGCATATAATGTGTTTTTCATGTAATACTTCATTGTGAAATATCTTCCCATTTCAATGTGTGTGCTTGAACATTTTTAATGATTTTAACATAAGAGTTATATTTTAGGTGGGTCACACTTACTCATTCCCCATTATAAGCAGTCTTTCTTTGGAGATCCTTGTATTTCATGTAGATCCTTATTTCGTTAGTATAAAGCCCTAGAAGCAGACTCGCTGGGTCAAGGGATGCTGTTCTAAAGCTTAAGATATATACTGTATGCGATATATACTACAGAGGTAGGAATTATATACTTCCTCACCAGTGGAGCCCAAACCTGAGCATTGAGAGCCTTTTAATAATTTATTCTTACCCGTTTTCTGTCTCCCCAAGTGAATGTGATTAATGGTGCCTAGCTGCAGCACTGTGTTTTCACAGGGCCTTAATTAAGCACAGGTATGCTGCTTTAATGATACTGAGGAGTCCAACAGGAGATGGTGAATTAATACTTCCTGTCCTTGTCTCTTTTGTCAGATGGAGTCCATTGCCTCACCTGTGCAATGATGCTTCTTAACACAGATCTCCACGGCCATGTAAGTGTAGGTGTGTGAGAGCTCCAGAATCTCTCGGGCTTAGCATCTTTGCTTTTGTGTTCATCTGTCTGTTCTCTGCCTCCTTTTTTTCTTATTCTCTACACAGTATGTAGGTAAACATAAATCTTTGGGGAAAGAAATAACTTACTTGACATGCTAGCACCGAGTGTAATTTCAAGTGAATACCGTATTGTCTACATGCTGTCGTTTTAGCTGTAATGTATGTGTTCTGTATCTTCTTTCTCCACTAGATGGCAGAGAGAGCTTTTATTTGTTTTTTGTTTTTGTTTTGTTTTTCTGGTTGGCTCTTAGGGTTGATACAGAACCGTGGAAAGAGGACATAAGTCAGATCTGAAAATGTCAGCTGTGTTTTCACTAAACACAGTAGTAAGTCTTAAGAACTCAGACTTTTTTACACCCCTCAGCTCACCTTGTCTTTTGCCAGTTGAAATATCAAAATAATCTACCTTCTCATCTTCTGTTTAAAATGCAGGGTGAACGTCTTGAATTTACAATTGTATATAAACTTTCACCTTTAATAGAAGTAGTATTTTAGCATTTACTTGTTCATATTAGAGAAAATGAGAATGTTTTAGTTAAATATAAATAAACATGTACTCAGCACAAAAATTATTTCATAGTCACTGGTCCATTTATTTTGAAGAGAAAATCATGTTTCTTGGAATTAAAGAATCTAGATCACTCCTTGATTTGGTGTATGATTAACTTACAATTTAAAAAAATCACATTAAAAGAATCAAAACTTAGATATTGGTCCAGATTTGTTCTATGATTCCAAAAGGTCACTTAATTCCATTATTTAAAACTGTGGTGCTCCTCTCTAGGAAGGGCAAAGTGGAGCTGTATGGGGTAGTAAAGATGGACTGAGACGGGGGAAGGGTTGTACTGTCAGGAAAATAAAGAGGAGACATAGTGATTGAATCATAGTTTTAAGATCATATTCACAGATCTCACAACACTCAACTAGGAAGTTCCTCTTGCAGTTTGCAAGCGGTGAATTCAGGCTACAGTTTGACCTGTAGACGTAGGAAACATGTGTCCCAAGACTGCACAGATGCAGATGGAGACACTCCCAGGGGGCATGTGTGGGTAAGAGGGCTGTAATTTGTCTTGTGCAAATGAAGGTGCTGGGATTGGCACCATGTGAGCCTTGACCTGAGTGTCAGAGTCTAATATTCATTCACCTTGTCATGGGAGTGACCAGTGAGTGGACTGTCCTAACCTCTGTTTACCTGTCACCAGTGAAGCAGATTTGCACTGCTTTCTTCTCTGCTCATCTTGTGGTAACAGCTGTAACTCTGTCCCCTACACCTCCCCCAACTCAAGGGGACACTTTTGATTACGTTTGTCCACATAAAACACTGATCCAACCCAGTGAGTCCCAACACAAGGAATCTTCTTCGCATCGGATATCTTGAGGGCCCATTCACGTATGACAGTTGTGCATTCAGTGTCTTTTGCCTGAGAAAACGTGTAATAATGAAAACAAAGAACCCAGTAACAGTTCGATTCTTATTTAAAGGTTGAGGTGTCGTAGGACTTCTGTGAAAGTTGCTGAATGAGGGTGGGGGGATTATTTCCATTAAAAGCTGGATGGCTTTTTAAAAAGCCAATATTGCTTTAATAATACTTTCAAATAAACATGTATCTTATGAATCACGATCATTTGAAGCATAGCAGGAAGTAAAGGTGCGAGTTTTATTATTTATTCAGATAACTCCACATGCTTGAAGTCCAGACAAGCCATGGGCGCCGCAGGGCCTCTCAACGCACAGGTTCAGAACCACAGGTCTCAGGTGTGCCCTTGTCCTCTGTGCTTGAGGAATTAAAAGGGGGTTAAAATGAAGCATCACGCTTCTTTCTGGCAACTGGGTTATAAGAAACAGTTTATATAAATGAACAGTTTAATATTATCTTGATTTATGCCAATCATACATAATTAGCAACTGGCTCTAGTGCATGAGAAAATCTGTATCATCTTTAAGACCGTGTTTTTAGTGATTATTAGTTCTCAGCTTTGTTTTTAAAAATGTGTGCTATGTACTTAGGATGATCTGTTGTTTAAGTTTTATATATTAGAGTTTTTTATTCTTATACACAATGCACGCTGTTGTTATAAGTCTGTTGAATATGTAGTAGCTGTCATGAAAACTAACCCTGTGAAAATGTGTTTCTCTCCTCTTCCTCCTCCGGATTCATTTTAAAAATAACTTTTCCTTCTAGGTGGTAAGTTTTACATCCATAATTCTGGGTGTAGCTTCTCTTGCATCATGATTGCCTGAATCACTGTTAACAGCGTTTGACTTACTAGCATGGCCCCTGTGAAAGTGGATTCGGTCTAACCTGTCCCCCTTTTCACCTTCTCCTCGTGCGGCGCTGCCTAGGCCATAACCTCTCACCCCTCAGTCCACTGCCGGAGCAGTCTGCTTGGGAAATGAACTAATAAACCACTTCCCCTTCCTTCCTTCCCGTCGGGTCTTCATGGTGGTTTGACAGCATGACCTTTCTCAGAAGTGCTGAGATGGGCTTGTGCTCAGCTCTCATGGGGGAGGCGTAACCTGGGAGGCTGACTCCTTCCTCATGACTGTTCTTCGTGAATCTCCCTGTGACCAGGAATGAGGCAGTGGCACTGCATTGATACGGCCTCTCTGCTTCCTGCTAACCTTCTTACAAATAAAATGGTGGCATGTGTACTAACATAGTAGATCTAATACAGCGTTACATGTTGGAATGCTTCTCTGGTTCTCTTTTTCTAATTTATTCCATCCTTCAACAAACACCTGTAGTGTGTATACTCCACTCTGAGTTCCCTGCCATCTGGGTGAGGACCAGGAGTCAAATCTCATCTCTGGTAGTGGTGCTCAGGGTGACCTCCCTTAGTCAGATTTAACTGCAGAAATGGTAGGTAACTGAGGTGCTGTGGTAGAGAAGCATTGGGAGAGATTTCAATGACCCATACTTCACGAAGTGGGTTAAGAAAAAAACAATCTGCAGTATATACAATGATTTTGGGAGAAATTCATTCAGATGTTACAGTCATTTCATTGGCACGAAGAATAGTGTGTCCCTTCTGTACCCACTTTTTAAAAAATGAATGATTTATCATTATTTTAGAAATAGTATGGGCTTGCTTTTACTTATCTGCAAGTGGTTTATTCACTTAGATTAAATTACTATTTTATTATGATCACATTTGCTAAGTAACCTTTTATTTTTAAAACACCTGTTCATCTATGAAATCTATGTGTAAATTAAACTTCTGCACATACAGATAAATTTCATAGAGTTTATTTTTGTCTTGCTATATTGGAACTAAATTGTACTGAATATTGTAGCAATCAACAGAGGAAAGAGTTGAAACTCTTTTTTAAAGCGTCACATTTTATTGGAAATTGCGTGAGTGAAATGATTTATCATGTTACAGTAAATTCAGACCTCTCCCTTCTCTGGGCTAATATTCCAGCGCACTCTGTTGACCACAAGTAGCTCTCGTACTTCACTCATAGTGCAAAGTGAGAGCCTCCTGGCAGGACTGTCTCTGGGTGTGAAGACAGGTGGCGGGGGCAAGGCGGGAGTCAGGAGCTTCTCACCAGGACTGGCCCCTGAGGTGGGAGGAGGTTTTAGAAACAGAGCTGAGTTGCAGTGAGGAGTGCGATAGGTTGGTGCGTAGTCAGTCGGCCGATTTCACAGCTCAAAGTTGGGTGAGATCCCCAGGGCCGTGCTGCCAGGTCAGCCACGGTCAGAGGAAGCAGCCAGGACGTTATTTTTAATCAAGATTTTGTGACAGAAATCTACCTTCTAACACCGTGGACTGGGATTTTTAGCAGCAGTTTAATCTAAGGTGTGTCTCTGCTTTCTAGCGCTGGCGGAGCCAGCCCACCCACTGCGGGGGTGGAAGAGTGAGGCGTGGCTCTTCTGGTGTGGCGCTCGCCTGCCTCCGGCGGGGCGTCCTGCAGACACTCACCCAAGGTGCTAGTCACCGTCTGGGCGGTCTGGGTTTGTTGTATGAGGCAGGACCGTCCTGGTTTTCTGGTGTTGGGTTGTAGGTCAGATAAAGAGTAAAACCGAGGCAAATGAATACATCATACTAGAGAGGGAAGAAAGAAATCAAGAAATAAAGTATAGGTTTTGTAACAGAATACTGTTAAAAGATATGCGTCATTCACTTTGAGATAGGTCATGGGAGTTCATTATTTTTCAATCCGTAAGCTGCGTTGATAGTTGTGAGTTTCTAATTCTTAGATCGCCTCTCTAGGATCCTAGAATTTCAAATGGGTGAAGTATTTGGTTTATTATCCGAAGTGGCAAATGGCTATTATAAGAACTGTGATTAAAGAATGCTAACGCGTTTACTTCTCATATTGTGCCGCCTTGTATTTCCACCCTCAGAAGCACCGCGCGTCCCCACGAGGTTGCTAGGGAGTATTTAATACCTCGGGAAGTCTCTGTGGGTGTCCGTGACTGTCATCGCTGTAACTGGCATCTGCTGCCCTCCCTCCCTCCTGCAGCGCTGTCTTCTCTGTGGGGGCCTCCTTGTGTCCCCGCCGCCCCGTTTCCTCAGTGCCCCCCGCCAGGAGAGCCATCCCTGGCATCACCTTCTGTTTCTACCTGCCCTCTGCGCTGCTGTGGATGCCAGGTGTGGGTGGTCTTAATTTCCATTAAGCCCGCGCTGCCTCCTTCCCTTGGAGTCCTCTTTTCCATCTCCTGGGGGCCCATCTTTCTTTCACCTGAAGGGGGCTCCCCAGCCACTGTGACACCACCAGACTGTCACCACTGTCAGACTGGCATTGGGAACCGCCTGGATTTTAACAGGAGCCCTTATATAAGCATGTCTGAATTAATCATGCCATGGCGGGCTTTCCTGGCTTCCGTGACTCCTCAAAATCAGAGTCACCCTCTCCTTTTGTCCTTTCTTCCATTCCTTCCTCTCTGCCACCTTTCTCTTTCTTCACTGTTTTTGTGGGGGTGGGGGGAGGGGTAGTTCTGCTTTTCTTGGAATAGGTTCATACTTACAAAATACGACCAGGATAGCTTTTATCAGTTGAGCCCATGGGGCTCATTCAAGAACCTCAGATGATCTGATTGATACATTATTCAGCCCCCACACCCCTCTTACCCTTCTGAGTTCTTCACATTTGTGCAGCTCATTAGTAGAAGGTGATAAAGGAAAGCAGGTGAAACTCTATTAAGTCAGTTTTTGCTTTTTATTCCTGCAAATAGTTTGTGGCGGAGGGTTGGGGTTGAGAGGGTGGAGGCCGGGGGAGGTGAGGATGAGGAAGGTGACTGTGAGAGCTCTAACCTCTAATCCCCTTCCTAATGCAACGCCCATCTTCCTAGGCTGTCAAGTTAGACGTATAGAAGTAGCGGTTTAGTCTTTGTAATTTGATAATGAGGGTCCTCTTTCCTTTTTCTTCTCAAGTTTTAGAGGAGGTGCTTTGTTAAGCAGTGATGGAACCTGTTCCTGCAGTACTTCTAAACTTTATGGTCTCAGGACCCCTTTATACTCTGAAAATATTTTGAGGACCACCAAAGAGCTTTTATTTATATTCATCAGTATTTACCTTATTAGAAACTAAAATGGATGATTTATAAATATGTATTAAATCATTTAAAAATAGCATTAATAAGCCCATTAAGTGAATAGCATACTTTTTTATGAATAATAATTATACTTAAAATTTAGTGAAAAGAATAGCATTTTGAATTTTTTTGCAGATCTCTTTCAATTTTGATTTAATGGTGGACAGCTAAATTCTCTGCTTCTTCATGTAGTCTTTTGCAGTCTGTCACAAGTCATATAGCGTCTAGAAAATTCTGTAACTTTGAGGGAGAGAGACTGAAAAACATTTTTATTATTATAAAAATGGATTTGACCTCATGGACACCCTGAACAGGATCCCTGAACTGTACTTTGCAGACCAGTGTGTTGCAATATTATTTTCAGTTGCCATATATTTATATATATATTTCATGCTATTTCTGGTTCCTTTTTCAGTGGCAGTGTGTTATGCAAGTGGCAGGAAAAAGCCCAGCGATATTTCAAATATCTCTAAAGGTTGAACTTTTAACACTTACATTAGCTCTGTGTTTGGGGTTTATGAAAGCATACTTTGAATATCACAGCTAGAGCTTCCTGCTTTGGAAGTTAACAAAGGATCCTGCTTTGCCAGCTAATCATGTATATTTAAAAAAAATGGACACCTGAGGGCAGCATAACACAATTAAGCTTATTTGATGGAGAAGCATGCAAAACAGGAGCTTTTAGCAGAGCGACAGAACTGAAGTAATTAG